ATTCCAATCAATTGAGAATCATATATACATGTACCAAGAATGGAGTCCCACAATTTAATGTCTGTCATGTTTCAGAAAATGAGCCTTCAAAATAATGCATTCAAAGAAACTGAAGTGTTTAAAAGGATACATCCAAGTCGGTCTGTCATGAGAAAGAAAAAGAGGAAAATGAGAAATTACATAAAACATGTCTTGTTCAGGTGATATAAAAAAAAAAAAAAAAATCTAAAAATTCAGATCATATGTCCCTGAAAGACAAAACTCAATATTGAAAGTCTCATCTACTTGTAAGAATCTCAAATATTTTCAAAAGTCACCCTGACTGAATGTTTACACCCGACTTAATAATTTCATTGGTGTCAGATGAATCTGTACATGTTGTAACGGATGACGTCAATTAAAACGTACAAATTTAAAATTTGTGAGAAGAAAAAGTGGAATACGCTGAAGAGCATTAAAAGACAAAGTCTTCAAGCAGCTGACATGATGGGCAATACTTCAATTCCATTCCTTAAAGGGAATGTACATCATTGGCTTTTGCTGTAATTTTCAGAAATTAACTATTTGAGGGTTACTATAATAGATCAAATATTGTCACACTGACATGCTTGAAGTTTTGTGTTCGAAAATGCTGGGAAAAAACCAAGAAACACACAAATGGTGGAGTAGTCTGGTTCCCTGACTCCACTAAAGATAAAAAATGATCAATTTATAGATGCCGAAAAATTGTAAGGTAAGGGAACCAGTCTAGCTGGCCTGCACCCGTTCATGAACATGTAACCAATAGCAAACAAAATTTGGAGTGAAAAAAATTGTGAATTTGGAGCAGCAGTTGAAAAAAAGTTAGGTTTTTCCAGGGCCGACCACCGTTGAAAATTTATACAAAAATACCATTTTCTTGAAAATGACTCCACACCAGGTGCCATAATTTTACAGGGTGCTTTAGACTGTCATTTACCAACATCCTAGTGAGGTATTTTGTTAAAACTTGGTAGTTGTATTTTTCGATGTTTGCAAATGTTGTATAATCCCTTTAAATCTTACCACTTTCGGGAAGTACTTGTCCAAGGTTTCCACAATCAGGTGGATAAACTCCAATATTGCCACTTCATTCTGACAGACGAAAATCAAAAATCCAAAAGAAAAATATACTAAATATCAGTGGTGTCTTTTATCAAGCACCTAGCAAAAGTATCAAGTACATGTAGATTGCATGAGGATACCTTACAGAACGGTTAGATTTGGTGATAAGTAAAGGATTGGTGATAGCACAAGTCCATGTGCAAGCAGGCCCTGCAGGGGCACTGACACCAGAAACCTCCCCTCCACAAAAAGCCTTTCATTAGTTTACCGTCACACTTTTTTTTTAATACACATGGTAAGCACGAGATGTCAATCACCATCTTATAATTACCTCTTCTTTGTCGATTCCGATCAGAAAATAAAGAGACAAGTATCGCCGGTACACAACTTTGAAGTCTTGATAATCTACGAAGGAGCACTGAAAACAAAATATTGAAATTATTCATACAGTTAAATTAGTTTATGTATAATCTTTAAGCCAATAGAAACTGATGAAGCAAAAAAACAGCGAGGGCTGGGCAGTTTCGGCACTACGCAGAGTAACAAGCAGGGCAATTGGGGTGTTACAGTGAAGTTAAGGATTAAGTACAATATGCCCGATATCATTCTTTGTGCAAAATAAATGTATTTGGACAATGGTGAGGTTGCATTGGGGGGTTTGTTTCCACCAGAAAAAAATTCTGAAATGTAGACAGGTTTATTCCTCCCGAAACTCCGCCTCCAAAAATCAATTGTGGGGGGGGGGGGGGGGCTCGGGCTCGGCTTGTACCATACTTTCAATGAGGGCGCTGTTCAAATCCGACAATTTTTAACACTTTATTACAGAATAGTGTGCAAATACCCCCTAACCAAGCTGGCTCTGTCTGCATTTTGTGCACAGGCGGACATTATTAATATTTTTTCGAGGTGTGGCAGGGGGAAGGGGAGATTTAAAGAGCTGTTCCCCTCCCCCCCCCCCCTCCCGGATCCGCGCCTGGTTTTACTGGAAATCAAAGACATTAGACTCTTTTGCAACTCTAACCTAATATTACCAACTCATCAAAATCCACCCCCCCCCCTCCCATTTTGGAAGAGTTTGGCAGATAAGCCATGTGTACCAATTAAAAGTCCAAAAATCCACCAGCACGTGGTGGATTTCAATGGATTTGGTCCTGAAGCATTATGTGAAGCAGAGTGAGTGATGGATTTTGATGGACATGGTCTTCTACTCAGTCAAACTAAGTACATTGTACATGTAGGAAGTTTGTGTAGGGTGCTAAGCTGGGCTCTTGCATAGTGGTCGATAGTTAAGAGAATCCAAGATGGTTCATGGCACAAATGTCAAGAGAGGTACGGTTATGGCACATCCAAAATGTCTTGTCTAGAGCTGCTGTGTGCTGTCTAGTGAAGTCTGTCACAAGCTAATTAATATGGCCTCTCAGGCCAGTGTTTATCTCCGGTTTGAGTGGCATGAAACGACTGAGAATATTTTTCCCCCGGATGGGAAGCAAGTCCATCGCAGGTTACTCCAATTTATCCCGGTACCCATTCATACTCTCGGGTGGAGAGAGGTAAGTGGGGGTAATGTGGCTTGCCCAAGGACACAACATATGGCCAGCAGCTGGATTGGAACCACTGACCCTCTGATCATGAGTCATGATCCCAAACCACCAGGACACTCCGCTGTCTAGGTCTTCCACAACAAAATCTACGTGGGAATGTTGAAAACAGACATGCATGTACATGTAGCTGTCTCTGGAAATCCATTTAGGACCGTAGCCTTACAATTGAAGCAGTCCTTACTGACCCCTTTGGTTCCTCTAAGGAGAACCTTTCTGATCAGATCAGCCTCCAGAGATGACCTTTCCGCTGGCTCTCTCCTCTCATCGTAATACTGGGCCAGGCGAGTCTGGCCCTGCTTGGAGATGATCAGGATGAACTTCAACATGATGGGGAGCGGTCCTGGATCACATCCATGAAGCTCTCTGGAAATGAAAAGAAGAGACAAGAGTTACTGACAGCATCCATGCACAAGTACTCAGATCTGAAAACCATTTGCATGAGGGTCTCTTGACAATACAGTGTAATGTTTACAGATAAAGTGTGACATTGGATGAGATCTTGCAAGTCATAACATATGAGGCCATTTGACATAGTTTTCTCTGTACACTCCATACCACTTGAGGATTTTACTCACCACAAAGTTAAACAACTGTCTTGAGCATTTAACAAATACGCAGTGGCTATTGTAACGGCAGTCAACTGTCCGGTTCCCTGACCTAATATAGAA